GATTAAATCATTCAGGCCATAAGTAAGTCTTTCGAGGATGATGATTAAATCATTCAGGTCATTTTTGAGTCTTTCGAGTAAGATAATAAATCCTTCGGGTTATCCATAAGTCTTTCGGGTATGATGTTTTCACACCAAGGTGATAAGTCATTCGGGCCATTTTAAACCTTCTCGGAAGAGCGTCGGAGCAAGCCATCAGATCATCAGATGTGGGAGGAAATTGAAGGTTCTCGAGTACAAAGAAACGGATCAATTGATTAAAAAGAAATGTGCACGAGGAGTCATTAACCAATTCAAGGTCCCAGGAAGAGATAGGTTCAGATGGCAGTCGAGTCCAAGAAGATTCTTATATCTAGTTGTTGCGAGACAAGCTCCCACAAGAGAAATGGATTCTCAAAGATTCTCTTAAATTCTAATTTTTTCGAGTATAATGTTTTTCAAATCTTCAAGCATACATTAATGAGTTGCAACTTTTGATTTTCAGGTTTAACCTTCAAAGTTGAGCCTTCATGAAAGAATAATGAAGCAGAATCACACCATAAGATTGTTCAAGTTCTACTCCCTGAAGCAAGAGGGAGCGAACCCGTAGACAGAAGATTATTCGAGTTCTACTCCCTGAAGTAAGAGGGAGCGAACCCGTAGGCAGAAGATTGTTCGAGTTCTACTCCCTGAAGCAAGAGAGAGCGAACCCGTTGGTCGAAGATTGTTCGAGTTCTACTCCCTGAAGCAATAGGGAGCAAACCCTTTTTTTTAGAAGACTGTTCGAGTTCCTTAATCCCTGAACAAGAGGGAGTAGACCCATCATTTGAAGATTTTTCAAGTTTCAATTATCCCGAAGTAACAGTGGAGTGCTTTAATCTTTTAAAGTTTGCATTGCCGGACAAATTTGACCATCTGTTGATCTTTGCTCTATTCTCGTTGCACGACAATGAGCAAAGAGGGGAAGCTGTAGATGCTTTGTCCGGGCTTATAACATATCGTTTACAACCCGTACCCAAACCATTTGGAAACCCAAATCAATCCAAAAACAACAGTATTATCATTCCAGCTGCTAGTCCACGTGGAGCCCTGTAAAACAAAGATAGTTATAAGGGGTTAATAAGCGTTATCAGGGGGCACGATTCAAATGGCAGTTTTGGGAAGGGAAAATTGAAAAGGGGGACAATAAGAACATAAAAAGAAATTAGTTTACATGGAGATAGGCATCTATCGTCGAGAGAGGGAACCAGAAATTATTAAGGATCACAGACAAGAGAGGAGAGATTTGAGCCGAGAGAAAATCAACCAAAAAGGAACAGGGGGAATTTCGACTAGAGGGATCGCGAACAGCAAGGGGGTTTTTCATCAACAAGAGATGAAAGAACAGAGAAGGAAGAATCAACGAACAAAAGAAAAGAAAACCAGAAACAATTCGTTTTGTAAAAGGGGTGGATTCATTGTAATGAAATGAAAAACGGTGTAAAGGAATTTTCCTCTCCCATTTTAACATTCGAATGAAGCAATATAACGAGGGCAATACATCATTTTCTTTGAGCAGTCCAACAACAGAAGCAATACACAGTCTATAAGCAGGTATTTATTTAATTTTTTTTAAAATAATATGAAATATCACAGGTTTGGAAGCAAATATATTATGTAAAGAGTAGAGAGAGATCTTTTACCTTTCGGAGAGGGTTTTACCATCGGAGTGGAGCCTTGTATGGGTGTTCGGAGTCAGATTCGGGTGTCCAGGTTTCGTATAGCAGCTTAGGGGAGCATTCTCTTGAATTTTAGGCTTGGGGTTTGATGAGGTTTAGAGGTTGAAGCCCTCGGGTTTGTGGTCTGAGGTTAGTTCAACGCCGATTCATGGCGGTTCCTTCTGTTTTGTGTCTCGATCAAGAGGAGAATGAGGCTGTCGAGAGGGGGTTGGAGAAGTAGAGAGCAAGGGAGATGAGAGAACAACGCCTTGGTGAGGGAGAAGAATAGAGAACGGCTGAAAGGGGTAAGTGAGGTTTAGGTTTAGTTAAAGTAAGTTTTATATTAGGTTTTAGGGATAATTGCTTTAAGATCATTATACATTTGCCGTTTATTTTTATTTGAATCCTTAAATCAGTGTTTTGTACTTCTGATTTTGTCTCCATGTTTTACCCGTATTTAATTTCAGTCCTAAATGGTAATGTATTTAGCTTCTGTCTGTTTATACATTTGACTTGTATTTTTACGCATGTTATGTTTTAGTCCTCAGGTTAACCCTTTTCGATTTACTTCTTGTGCCTTTATGTTTTGCGTGACTTTCAATCTAGTCCTTTGTTAAGATGATTCTAAGTTATATGTTATTTTTTACCTTTAGCATGTAATTTTGTTAATTGATATTTTAGTCCCGAAATCCAGTGGTTGTGAATTTTCTTTTGTTTATACATTTGGCATGTTCCTTGTCAGACTTACATTTCAGTTTTATAGGCAGTCTCGGGTTTATTTTGATTTTAGTATATGTAATGTATTGAGTTGTTTTTTTGGTGATATTTGTTTGATTTATGATTTCAACTTTAGATTTATTGGCTCATTTATTTTAATCACATGTTTAATTAATTTTTGCATGACATCCTTTTGCATAATTTGCATGATAGCCTCATGAGCATAACTCGACCATACGACATAATTGGCTTAAGGGTAATACCCTTTTAATTTAAATCATTTTAAGCGGGCTGTCTTAACTGATTAGAGGTCCGTTTCTAACAATTTTAAATTAAAAGTGTATCACATCAGTGACACCGAAGAAATTTATTTATCAGTTTAAAATTTGGGAATGGAAGAAAAAGAAATATTCGACTATTTAAATTTATCGAGAAAATGTAGTTATAACTGATTTAAGATCTGGTCTCGATATATTTAAATAATCGAATATTCTTTATCTTTCTAATGATTGGGTAATTTTAATCTAATCTGTTTTGGTGTTTACAAATGATGTAAATATGTATATTATTGTTTTGTCGGGGATCATAAATCAAATTAAACTCGAATTTGTAAATTTCATTGCAAAGACATTAATTAATCGACGATGTACCGATTTAGGGCGTTGTGGGGGTGCTAATCCTTCCTCACGCGTAATCGACTCCCAAATTCAGATTTTGATAATGTAGACCTCAATTTATTATTTTAATTAAAATTAATTTTTATTTAAAATGGCAATATTTTTGGGTGCCCAATCACACCCTAATCAAAGATTGGTGGCGACTCTTCGAACCGTATTTTTCAATCGTAAAGGAAATCCAAAATTTTTCGAAACAATAGGTCTTTTAAATCGCATTTGTTTTTAAATTAAAAATCAATTGAAAGAGGTAAATTAAAAATTAATGTGGTTTTTAAAATCTCACCTTTTAAGGAAAAATCGTTTCGACAGTAAACCCTCGACCCTTGGCATGCCAACTATACCACTAGCTCTCTTATCACATAACATGGGCATTAACATTCATAACAGTTCAATTTACTTATTAATATCCTTTCTCTTATGAACATATATCTTTTCTTTTCAGTCACGTACCAAATGTACGTGTAATCATTGATCTTATAATCACATGTCCATTCTCTTCGGTCACATACCATATCTATGTGTAAACATATATCTAATATCATATAACACCCATCACAAATGCATGTATTCACATAAATCATTTCTTATAGCTTTTTTCATATCACATATTCATATAAGCTCATATATTATTTCACATATACTTTCCATATAACTTATATATCTCATAATCACACAAATCATAACATTGATCACCAATCAAATAACATTTTAGGAGTTACTTCTTACCATAATAACTCCATCACTGGCTCATCGCAAGCCAAATGTTTATTCAATAATATAAGTACAAATTAAATTGCACTCACCTTAGCTTTGCTTTGATTCGATTATAATCCTTCAATTGATCCAGAACGAGATCACGTTCTATATCTACATCATCATACATAGATCTATATTAGTATTATAACTAATATACTCTAATGGTTCACTCTTTAGACTAAGAGAAAAGATAATTTCATCTTTTAATGAAGGTATGCATCGATGCACTACTGATGCATCGGTGCATAAAATGCATTCGATGTTGTATTATTACTGGGATACATCGATGCACTACTTATGCATCGATGCACGAATTGCATTCGATGTATTTATTTTAAAAGAGTGCATTGATGCACTTCTTGTGCATCGATAGACCTTCAAACGATTTCTGGGTTTTAACCTTGATGCATCGATGCACTATGAATGTGCATCGATGCACTCTTCCCAGAACCTCTTTTTAAACCCGAAAATTCATTCATTTTGGATTAAATCATTCATGTTTATCCCCTTTTTCCTTCTTAACTCTAGTACACATACTTAAACCAATATATACTCATTTATTTCATCTTAAACCTTAATATTCTCTCATCTTTATTAACTTCAAGAATCATACCATATTTTTAACATGTTTTAAATCTAATTCTAACACTCCATATTCCTTAATTAGATTGATGACAAGTCAAATTCCTTCTCAAAATTCACTTACTAACTCTTTTCCAGAATTTCCTTTAAAAACTCATTTTCTTTAATCTTTCATAACTTCTTTACCTTTTGATTTTAGAACAACTTAAGCTTTCCATAAGCTTAAGTATTACCTAATGATCAAAATCCACTCTTAAAATTAACAAATAATCAGCTAACAAGGAATCTTACCTTTGCAAGCTTGGCTCTTCTCTCTCTCGTACATGAAGAAGAAGAAGAAGAAGAAGAAGAAGAAGATGATGAAGAGAATATCTCTTCATCCTTATCCCCTCTAACATATATATCCTTATCGTATATATTTTTAATTCATTTATTAGTCAAATGACCATTTTGCCCTCTACTTCATTCGATAATTACTAATAACTTTTAGGATTTATTTCCATATAAATCATTGAACTAATCCATTCTTCTACTTTAATCACCAAATTTCTGAAACTTTACCATTTAGTCACTAACCCATAGTTTTGGGATGTTACACTTCTTGTACACCATTAACAGCAGATTTACCATCACAACACACCGCTTTAACATGCACCTGAACACTATGAGATTGTACAGAAGCTGAAATTGGCAATGACAGAACTGGAGGAACAGGAAAACCTCCATCCTTGTCAAATGCAACAGAATTTATAACTACTACTCTTTTAACAGTAAGATTCTTCCTTGCCATCTCAATGTGTAAAAGAGACCTCAACTTAACGTCAAAAACCATTTTCTGAAGGACATCCTTAGCAGCGACTGTAAAATTTACAGTTGAGAAGAGAGCTAAGCCCTTGGGCTTATCTCCCTTGAAGCTCAAATGTGAATTTTTAAAACCCGGAAGCCATCTCAGAAAATTCTGCAGCTCTCTCTCTTTGATATCTTCAGGCAGACCCATAATGAAGATAGTACGAACCTTATCATAATGAGAAAGGTTAGATGACAGAGAATGTGCTGCTGCAGTGGTTGGAGAAACTTGGACCGAAGGACTCTGCTGGAGAGAAAGGAGGACTCCAGCACCCGACATGTGATAAAGACTGTTGAAATGAAAAACCCATATATTTGACGAACTAATCTGGACGCACGCCCTGCGAAGGAAAAGCGACGGATGGCTACGAAAACCAGTGAAAATGGAGAAAAGATCTATAAACAAGATAGAAGCAGGAGCTTTTGTCTTTTAATACATCCGGCTAGAAGAAGTAAACTGAGTCTACGTATCACCCCTGGAAATAAGTTCCAGAACAAGAGCTCAAAGCTTCAACAGCATTGACGGAAGAAATCCACCAAAAGAGTCAAGCAGAAAGATAGAAGTAGCGAGTGCCTGATCTTATCGAAACTGCTCAGTGCAAAATAATGGAGAGATACAACTAAACTCGACACTAAGTAAATGGGTGTTGATCGCAAAAAGGCTCAAAACACGGTGGAGATGCGATATCCAACGAACGTGCAATGGATGGAGGCGAAAATGGCCGTGAGCGGCTTGTAGATCAGCGTCAAATAAGAGTCTTACTCAGAAAAACAAGCCCAAAAAAACAAAATCCTTGAGCCGACGAATTACCCAGTAAAAAATGGCGTCAAAACGGAGGTCGGAGTGTGGCGGAGGACGACTGACGGCGGCGGCGGGTGGCGGGCGACAACTGCAAACGACTGGTGGATGTTGGAGGAGAGACGTCGGGGCTCGTGGAAATAAGAAATTTGAAAACACCTAGGTTAGAGAGAAGCTGGAGCTTCTCTCACTAAAACACCTTTTCCGAATGCCCATGAAAGCCTCTTTCAACATTACTAACCGACGCACTCCTCCCAGAAGGACGTCGCTGGGACAATGATACAGAACCATACTGCATACCATTTTCAACCTGTGTAGCTGATCTTAAAGCTTCATTCTTATTCCCATTTTTGTTTACTGTTGGACTAAGCTGCTCAGGCCCATATACCTTCATCGTACCCGTGCTGAAAAGAAGCCCATCAACTTGGGCCACTTTATCTTTCCCCGAGGTGTCTCCTAAGCTGGCCACCTTTTTTCTCCCATCAGCTGACACAGTCTGCTTGCTGAGACCTTCACCTAGTACTGTCCCCTTGATATAAAGGTCAACATTAAAACTGTCATTGGCTTCAACGGTTTTTTTTCAAATTTCCCTCGTTTATTGAACCACCCCCTTGTGAAGTACCTCGAACCCACTCTTCTGCCCTGTTCCTAGAGTCTGACATCTGTTGGAAATTCAACTGCCCTTGCAGACCTCCTCGATCCTCCCCTTTGCTCCCATCCGACGAAACCTCCGCCCAATGATCCACTGTTCCTCCTTCAGAACCATCTTCATCAACCCCATCATCACCAACCCCAGTTTCAAGCTCAGGGAAGAAATCATCACTGTTGTCTACCTTAATCTTGATAGTAAAGGACCTTCCATAAGTATTAATGATGACATGTGAAGGGATGTCAAACGGACTTTCAACCCTTAATAACATCTGAGCCATCCTGCAATCAACTCTTTGAGTTGTCTGCTCTTGAATCTTCACTAATTTGCCCCATCTCGATGGCAAACTGGTAAAAAATGGAACTGGCCAACAGTTTAATGGAACGCCCATCATGGATACTGCAAAATAAGGTAATGGAACACCCTTCTCTTCTATCACAAACTCCAACCGTTCAAACCATAAAGACAAAGCCTCCCACTTATCTTCCAATGCTGCTTCTTTCTCCTCCACAGACTGGAATACTATCAAACATTCATTTTTTGCATATCCCCATATAATTACCTTGACATTGATTCCTTCAGTTCTCAATGCCCTTTGCACAAATTCAACCTCAAATATCGCTTTAACGATACCTATTAAAGACGACCTCAGCCATGATCTTTCCTCCATTGGAATGAAGAAATCCAAAGGCTTCTTCTCCTCTCTCTTATCACCAAGGTTTCTGGATTGCTGACCCTCAAATTTTTTCAAACCTCCTACCGTATCCTTATATGTTATGCTATCATCTCCTTCTTCCCTGCCTCAACCACTTGGCTAGATGCATTTTTCCTTTTCGATATCTCTACACCTACACCTGCAGCCTCTGCGACACTATTGCGCTTCAAGTTCCTCGGAAAACTACTCCTCTGATATTTCGCATATGACACCAATATTCTTCTCCCATCAACGAGGACTTTGTTCATATTCTCTTTAGCATTAATCAAATCCTCCTTACTCGCAAATTGCACAAAGGCAAACGTCTTGTCCTTATAGTTGGGTCTTCTATTAACAAACGGAATAAAAACTTTAATCACCTTTCCATAAAGGCTAAAACGATCCCATAATACACTTATATGCACTCTCCTACTAAGATTGTCAACGAATGCAACCCACGATCCACCTCCAGGAACCACTCTATCTCCATCAGAAGACACAAAGCGATTCCGCTCCTCTCTCACTCTCGCTCTACTCGCCATACTTTCTGTTGTACTAATTATTTCATCTAATAAAATTTTTGAGGTGCTCTTTTCCTCCTTCCAATGTTCGTTGAGATACTATTTTGTATTTTGATGGATATGAAGGGGGTTTTAATGAGACCTTCCTCTCTTATAAAAAAATCATTTTCTTGATGTCAAACTTGTTTCTAATGAGATGCATTCATAAGAGACTTTTTGAATGATTAAATTGACCATTATTTGGGAGGATATGATTCATGTCAAAAGTAGTAGCAAAGAACATGTTCCTTTACTCCACTATTTTATGTACTGGTCTATCGATAGGACATGCTAGCACCTTTGCAGTGGTTTATTTGAACAGTTTTTTAGATTTACAGTTTCCTTTACAATGGGACGGTATATTATTGAAATAGTAGCAAAAGGAATATATTCCCTTAATTTACTATTTTCAGTAGTGACTAGTTTATGTATTGATTGCACTATTGCTAGGACATGGTGGAACTTTTTCGGTGGTTCATCTGAACCGAATTGTTGTAGATTGACAATGGAGCTATAGATTTTAGCAATATTAGCAAAAGAACATGTTCCCTTTATCCGTTAGTTTTATGTATTGGACTATTGGTAGGACATGTTAGCAACTTTGCGGTGGTACCCAAGTTGATGATACTTACATTTGTGAGAAACTCTTCAACCAAGCGTCTTGCGCCGAGCGTCGAAAAATCATCCGCCTGGGTCTGGGCAAAGCGGCATACGAGAGGCGCCATGAGGTGAGTGCCTCCGAGTCGGGCACCGGGCGCAGCGCCTGTGCGCTTTTGGAAGAAAACGTAGAATAAATCAAAGAAGAAGATAGGAGAATAGCGGCAGAAGAACAGTGGTGAAGAACGGCTAGGGCAGACTCATTTTTTTCACTATCTTAACCATAATACATAAAGTTACTTAACCTATTAATCAATCAGCCTAAGCCCATTATAACATTTTCACATTTTGTCTGCTTTTAATCAAAATTACTCTACTGTCGTCTATTCCCTCTCACCTTTTCTATTCTTTCTTTATACTAATAAAAATAAGATATATTATAATAAACTAATGTAATAAATATTATGCTACCATCTATTCCCATCACCCTTCTTTATATAAAAAGTTATCTAATAAATAATTATTTTTATAATTATAATTATAATAATTTTTTATAATTGAAATATAATATAATTATAATAGCAATATTGTCTTAGGATAGGTGTTACTGTTCTTTGTTCTTTTGTTAATTTGTGTGGACAAATTATTGTTTCACCTAGTTCACCTAGTTGAAACATGCAACCATTAGTTTGTTATAGTGTAAGTGTGTAACCCTAATTATTTTGAAATGTTTTGGAAGGTAAGGTTTTGTAAATGGTAGAAATAGGGCTTGACTATTGAGGAGAGAATAAACAATGGTAAAGGAACATAGTGTGGGAAGGAAATTAAATGTTTTGGGAGTGAACCAGGAGTTAATAGATGTGGATATGTTCTAAATTAAATTATAAAAAAATTTAACACAAAAAGTGCGCCTCGCATACGAAAGGTGCGCGCCTGCGCCTTGTACCTCGGTGCTTCTTGTGCCTTTAAAAACCAAGGCAAGGGTAGGGATATCTATTGTGGTTCATTGGAGTTCAAAACATTGCAATTTGCAACATCACATAGTAGTGCAATGGTTCCTTGGGCATTTGGGGTTTGGGTGATAGAGTCATTGTTCACAGTGAGATTTAAGGATGACGGTGGAGCATAGGCAAGGGAATGTTTGCTCAGGATCATCAGGGAACATTCATGTGGGAACTATCACTTGTAAAAGAACTAGTTTATGTCTGGGGCAATTATAATTAGTAGTAAAAGAACTAGTTATGTATTTGGCAATTCTAAGTATTTGACCAAATCCAGATTAACTTTCTTTGGGTTGGGATAATACACTAGAGTTTTTGGGGTGGCTTCTACTGTGATAAGCTTGTATAGAATTGATAAAATTTCAAATAGATCTAATCCAGTTTCATAGCCAAATCTTATCGTACCGTTCAATTGATCCTCAATATATTCTCAACCTCTCTGTTATCAATAGAACAGTTAGGGAAGGTGTGACCTAGCTTTCCAGAGTGTCTGCACAGCTTACAAATTCCATCTCTAAATTTATCCAGATTCTGGCTTCGTCTCCATCCTCGATGAAGCAGATAGAAAACAAGGGTAGCCATGTATTTAACCGCACTTCAACTAGAAGATAACTGATGTTCCTAGGGAAAGGATTCTGCCATTATATCTCTTGAACATCTTCCACTGCATTGACAATAATATTTGCATCTTGCGGTGAAAGGTATTGTAGAGGGAGGCCCCATATTTGTATCTGTAATGGTGCTGAAGTGAGTTTGATTTCCCTTTTTCATTATTAATTCTATATAAGTCTTCCATTTCACTAAGGATAAGTTCCAAGTCTTTCATTTCACCTACAACAGAGTCCTTGACCTTAAGAGTGCTACCAGTAAGTCTTTGTACTGTCCTACCCTAAAATTCTCTTAGGCACAAAAGATAGGTTACGAGGAAGGGCCGCTAACAGACTGTCATCGATGTTAAAAAGCTCATTGCTTCCGGATCAATAATGGACCCTTATTGGCCCCGTTTTTGACTTCGCAGTAAGACGAAATGACCTTGAATGACGTCTCTAACTTAGAGACTCTAAGTTGACATAAATGAGATGAAAATAAAAAGAAAAAATGAGAATTTTTTGAGGGGCCAAACAGAGAATTTGTCTAAAGGGACAAAACATGTATTAAACATTTACATTTTTATATTCAATCAAACTACAAAAATACAAATTGATCATTAACATTGTAAATTTGTAACATTTTAATCTCGATTCTTAACATATAATTTAACCTATTGAACCTTTTTTAATAATAATTAAAAATATTTTTAATTTTTTTTGCAATCATTACTTTTTGGATTATTCAAAATTCAAATTATAACATTTATTTAGAGAATTTTAAAAACCATTAATATCATGAAATTTTAAGTATTTTTTAAAAAAATATTATAAAACTCCAAGGAAGAAATTGTTAAAATTTATTAGTAGAATCAATGGTGTAGATGCTCGTTTCTGTCCGGGGCCAAGTCGGAGCAGACCCGAAGCAATGAGAGCCCAGATGAGCCCAAACCAGATGGAGGTCCATCTCAAACCCGATGGACAGCAGAACAAAGCTAAAGATGAGAGAAATTGGGGTCAGTTTTAGCAGTTAAAATTAACCACTAGATAGAGAGTGGGGGTCAGTTTTTATTTGGGTTTTAACCACTAGAAACTATCAACCATGGGAAATCATAGAGAAAAGGAGAAACAGAGAGAACAACAAGTGAAGGGAAACCCATTCAAAAACAAAAGCAAAAAAGGCCATCTAAACTAGCAAGGTCTCAGGCAGTGGAATAAACAAAAAAAAACCACCATCAATCATTCATCATAAGCGAGAATAGAGAGCAATTCAACGGGATTAACATAAAGCAGTAATCATTTTCTTGAGGTATTTTTTAATCCATTTTCGATTTTTAGTGATTGTAGTGTGTGATTTGTTTCGAAATAATTAGTAAAAACAAAGAAAAATGGGTTGTTTGAGGTTACCGTTTGTTGGTGGTCTCTCGTTGGACCCAATGTCGCCGGAGTCGGTGTTCAAATGTTGATAGTCGATCGGGAAACCTTGTACATGAGATAGGGGTTAGAGTCACAAATCCAATCAGAGATTAAAACAGAAAATAGTAAAATAAATTAGAGGATTGGAGCAGTGGTGTTGGGAGGCAATCATCAAGGTTCACAGCAACGATGGGTGCGGGTAAGGGAAAGTGAAGAGTGACGTGAGGTTGGGGATGTTTTGTATGTAGTTAAGTAGGCTTATTTTTTAGTTTAGGTTTTGGTTAAATTAGCTTTTGGTCCCTCAAGGTAAATCCTTTTAAAAAAACAGTCATCTGAAGCGTTAATTTATGAATTTGTTTTTATTATTATTTATTTCATTTGTCTCAATTTCGTTATTTTCCAAATTTAGGTTTCAGTTGTAATTTTCGGGTTATTCATGTTTAACTTCTTAATGTATATGTTTTTTTTGTTTTAATCATTGTCTTAATTTTTGATTATGTATCCGACTTTTGTGTTATTCTAAATAAGCCCTTAGTTAAGTTTGCGAATAATTTGAATCTAATCCATGTTTTCTTTTATGTTTCCTTATTTAGTCTCTTAATCGTTTCATTTGATTGAATATTATTTAGAACTAAATTTTTATGGTATGTTAATCAATTAGATTAGTTTGTAGTTCTTTAGTTTTATTTTTTAAATAAATATAGTTGTGGATATTTGAATATGTTTTTTAGGTTATTATATTTTAAAATTGATCCCTAGATTAGATAACTTTTCTTTTAAAATAATTATGGTTAATTAGAATTTTAGTTTATGTTTAGTCATTTTTTTAACTTAAATTCAATCTTAGAGCTTTAACCGTAAGCTCAACCTTTAGATTTAGATCACTTTATTTTATTTTATTTTTAGATTAATTCCTTAAATCTAAGTTTCTTCAATTTAGGTCCATTGTTAGGGTTATCTTTAATTATATTTGTTTTGTATGTGATAAGTTTATGTGTGGAAGTATGTGAGTGATCTATTTACGAAGTGTATGACGACATTTGTTGCATGAATTTGTATGGTATCTTCACGTGCATAACTCGGCCTATTACATAATCGGACTAAGGGTAATACCCTTTTAATTTAAAATTGTCTTGGGTGGCTTGTCTTAACTGATTAGAGAGCCATTTTGACTATTTTAAATTAAAAGTGTATCCCGAAAGTGAAACAAAAAATTGATTTGTCACCTAAAATTTGGGAATGAGAGAAAAAGAAATGTTCGTTTATTTAAATATATCGAGAAAAGGTTGTTATATCTTTAAGATCTGGTCTCGATATTTGTAAATAATCGAACATTCTTTATCTTTCTAAAATGACTTGGTAATTTTAATTTAATTTGTTT